TCGAAGTGAAGTTTCCGCGTCCGCGCTGGCCCCCACTGCAGGGGTCCGACCGCAGCGCCAGCCGCGCGTCCACCATGCTCATGGGAAGTAGGGCGACGAGATCTATACATATCCACTGCTCCTGGCCAGGCCCATCCTGGGCCCAGGAGCTGTGTATATGCCTCCCTGGCCAGGCCAGGAGGGCGTATACACCGCTCCTGGGCCCAGGATTGGCCTGGCCAGGAGCAGTGGATATGCATAGATCTCGTCGCCCTAGGAAGGTGGGGTGCGTGTGCAGCTCGCGGCATAGGTAAGTCCCGATTCCACCATCCCCCCTGCCGGGCAGGCGACCAATTATTTCAGCTGGGTGACGATGTCCAAGTACTTGGGTCCCGCACTGATGAGGCGCCCCCCCCCCCCTGGACGAAGAACGCCCCGAGACAAAGCGAGACTTCGTGCAATTTTGAATGCTCAGTGTATCTCGACACCTGCCTCAACTTTTGAACCTGGCGAACCGTTTTCATCAGTGAAGGATAGGGAGCATGCTTGTGGGTGGGGACGTACATGCAGAGAACAAGGGGAGTAACGAGGCGGAGGAGGAGGACTACGAGGAGGAGGAGGAGGAGAAGGATGAGGAGGAGGAGGAGGAGGAGGAGGATGAGGACGGCGGGGAGGATTATGATAACGAGGGAGGGGGAGGAAAAGGACGACGAGGAAGGAGGGGAGGAGGGGGAGAGGATGCGGAGGAAGAGGACGGCGAGGGCACGGAGTCCAACGACGATGTGACAGGGTATTGCAGGGTAGTGCATGGGCGGCTTGTAGGGTTTGCAGGGTATCGCAGTGGTATGGTCTGCATTGGATTGCAGGGTTATTTTACATGCATTGCAGAGGGCCCTGCCGGGGGTGCGGCGAGTCCCAGGGGATAGATTTGGCAGAGGGTTTTATTAGGCTGTTGGAAGAAGGAAGAGGGGGTTCTCTAAACCAACTACGCCCAGAGGGATGTTGATATCACTCGGATAACAACGTGCGGTCGCCTGCCGAGGGCCAGAAAGCACATACCTCATGTCAACCCTGTCAGAGTATCTTCTGTTTTGCGCAAGAGCCCGAGAACAGCTCACGCGGTATTTGGGTACTCCGTGTGTCTCATCCTAGATTGGGCAGTGATTGACTTCAGTGCCATCGCATGCCACGTGCTGTCCAGATCATTTACGGGCTGCCAAAGCGCCACCTGGGAACGCAAGCTGGGGCCAGTCCGTCGTCATGGTCAAACTTAGGGTTTGGGAGGGGATTTTATTTGGTAGGGGGAGGATGAGAAGGGCGAGGAGGAGGAGGAAGATGAGGAGTAGGAGGAGGCTGATTAGTTGAACTAGGGAATAGGGAGTAGGACGAGGAGGGCGAAGAGTGGGAGAGGAGAACCAGGAGGAACAGGAGAAGGAACAGAAGGAATACAGACATTTCCAGGGATCGATTTTGACCGATCGTTTTGGCGGTCAACCGTAGCAGCCACAATCTTGGTGCAATGCCAGTGGGGCGTTTGAGATTTTCTTGTAAGCCTGAGCCCTGAGCAGTTTAGCCAGGGAGGATAAACGGCAAATGGCTGCGGTGGGTGCGGCGGGAGGGATGTGGCGGTGGAGGGCAGGGACAGTATTGGACATGAGGGCGGGGGGAAGAAGTGAAAGGAGGGTGGGGATGTGGAGGAGGAGGAGGAGGAAGAGGAGGAGGAGGAGGAGGAGGAGGAGGAGGACGAGGAACCTTGTGACGAAGCACTGCTACGGGCGTGCTCGGAACAACATCTCGGCAAACGTGCGCTGCGATGTGGTTCTGTGTGCGATGCTATCGCGACGAGGGTAGCCACGATGTCTTCCTCCGCCTCGTCCTCTTTGACCTTTCTCGTCGTGAACCCTCTTTTCCTCCGATCCTTCTCTCCACGACGAGGTGTCATGCGGCTGGCGATGGGACGGTTTCATGGCGGCAATTGGGATTCTAGTCGGTGGCAGCGTGTCGGCTTTGGGATAGCCGTTCGACTGTCGTGAAGTGTGTTCTCGCTCGACTGCGTCGCCGTGTCGTGGAGCTTACGCGTGCTGGTTTGGCGGTCTCGTTGCCTGGCCCGTCCTCTGGCGAGGAGATGATTCGGGCCCGAGGCCCAGTGTGGCCTACATGCCCGCAGACCCCCCAGAGTGCTGAATGCCATGCCTTCTGTGCTGCTGCTGGGATTATTGCCCGGGTCTCCACTGTGCACCCGGATTGCCAAAATGTGGTTGATTATGCTAGTTTCTTCGGGCCCAACAAAGCAGCCACGAGCGTCTGTATTCTGGCTGTGCCCAGTTCGTTCGCCCCCCCCTCGCGGTCAATGAAGTGGGGGCCCATTTACATGTTGAGGAAGCGGTGGGCGACGGTGACCGTTTCTTGCGTTCAGTCAACACTTACGTCGATGTTTCTGCTAAGCTTGCTGCGTCGTCGCACCCTTCGGCGTCCTCGGAAGAGCTCGGGCGTCTAGACAGACAGCTTGCTGTTGCCAGGACCGTGGGTGTCTTGGCTGCTCACCTTTTGCCTTTTCGGCCTTCACTCGACTTGGGCCCCAAGGTTGTCAGAGAGTGAGAAGTGGCCCCAGGCAGACAGCCCGTGCGTCCACACGACTGGCAGCAGACTGGCTCTTTTTGGACATTTGAAGCCTGTCTTGCTGTTCCGAGGGGCGGCCAGCCCCCTGCGCAAATCCAGAACGTGGGACCTCTTGGGCTCCGGGCTCCCACCTGCCGCAGGCAAGTGTCCGGGCAGGTCCAGGCTTGACGTTGCCCTCTTGTTGGCTCATCAGCGTAGGTGCATTGCTCTATCCTGCTCCGACTCGTCCACGCTGTCGGTTTGCCTGCGGTGTAAAGCGTACGCTGGGTTTCTGAATAGGCGTGGGGGGTACCCCCCCGACGGGGGTCAACCTCGCCTCGTAGTCGCGCCGCGACGGGGGTCGGAGCGCCTTCGGCGCGCGCTGGCTGCCCGCGACGGGGGTCGATGTGGGGCTGTCGGCGGGGGTGACGTCCCCCCCCCCCGACGCCTATTAAGAAACTCGGAGTACTGTTGTCAGGATCGTACTAGAAATTTGTTCACAAGCTGGCACCAGCGTCCGCAGAGATCGGGGGCCAAGTATGGGCGGTCCTGGATATGTCGAGGAGTGCACTCCAAGCTTACTCCTAGTTTCTTACTGAGCGTTGGGGGGGCGCCACCCCCGCCGTCAGCCTCACATCGACCCGCGTCGTGGGCAGCCAGCGCGCGCCGACGGCGCTTCGACCCCCGTCGCGGCGCGTTTACGAGGCGAGGTTGACCCCCGTCGGGGGGGCAGCCCCCCCACGCTTGTTACGAAACCCAGACCAGTCACATCCTGGCTGTGCCGCCGTGCGCTTTTGCTAGATTGGTATTAGAGGCCCAGGCTGTCCCCCCGACTCCGAGAGGCGGAAGACGAAGAAGACGACGAAGGAGAAGAAGACGCGGCCTGGCCCCTCCGCGCCGGCTTCTCCGCCCCGCCGCCACCTGGCGCGGAGGCTTCGGGTGGGGCCCCAGAGCAGCCCAGCCTATCCTCGCCCGCCGCCGAGCCATCGTGCTCGTCGTTCCACAGGCGCCAGGGGACTTGAGGGTAGGTGTTGGATAGGCTCAGGAGAGAGGTCGACGGGGCGCCGCTGGCGGCGCCGTCCTTCCCACTTGCCGCCAGTGCCGAGCTGTCAGGTGACTCTGACTGGCATGCGCTCTCTTTGCCGACAGAAGCAGCTCTCGATTTGGCACGCCCGGAGTTTTCTCCCGATTCCTTGCCCCGTCAGCTTCTTTGTCCCCTGCGCACCCCTCTTTGCACGTGGGCTCGTGTTGCCCGTGGTGCTTCATCCACGGTGGGCATCGCGCAACCTGCTGATCGTCTTACTGGTCGCGCGATCGTACGCTCAGCCTGTGGCGAGGACGACGCTGCACAGGTTGCGCCGCCCTTCTTTTCTCTCCTGCTCCTGCGCCCCCCCCCCACTGGAGGTCGTGCCTGCCAGTCTGGCCTGGCCACTCGTGCCGCGGTCAGCTGGCTGTAATTGGCACCGTCCTTCCGCGCGGCGCCAAGCTTCTATTGTGGCCGTGCGCCTGTCCATGGGCCTTTGGGTTTCCCTGAGCTGCCTGCGTAAGGTCGGGGTTCCTGGATCCGTCTGGTCCTGGCTTCCCGGTTTGTCACCGCTCAGGTCGGGTCCACACGCGCGTTTTTTGTTGTTGTTTGATTTTTTTTCGTTTTTTTTTTTTTTTTTTTGTTTGTTCTCTCTCTCTCTCTCTTTCTCTCTCTCCTTTTTTTTCTTCTCCTGGCGTGCTATGCCACGCCCTTTCACTTTCTCTTCGGCGAGCACCGTCGAGGAGTCAGGCACCTTTCCCCTTGGAGGGGCCAGAGGAACATCAGAGGTGAAGAGACCTGTTGCGGTCAAACAAATCTCCTTATCTTCCTCTCCCCTCCTCCTCTGTTCCTTCTTCTCCTCATCCTTTCCTCCTCCTCGTCCTCTTCCTCCTCTATTCCTTCTTCGCATCTTCCTTCTCTTCCTCTTCCTTCTCCTTCTTGTCCCCGATCCTCGATCGTGCCTCGAATTTGTTATTGAGACAGGCACTCCGCGTATGGAGTCGCATATTCGCTGGCAACGGTTCTGAATGTGTTTTGCTCGGATGTCAAGCGGATCCAGTGAAACCAGCAGACATCAAATTATCCAGAGGCGCCCCAGGCGTCGCCCTAGGACGCGCGCCGCCGCGTGCACAGGCATTCGGTCGTGGACATCGGCGTGCGTCCGTCCGTCCGTCCGTCCGTCCTTCCATCGTTGTCCCCGATCCACGATCGTTGATCTTCCTTCTGAGCCCTTAACTTAGGCCCAACTTCAGCTGCAAAGCTGTAGCGTCTCAAGGAACGCGCGTGCAGAACAACAAATAGAGATCGCGCGTGTAGCGAAGGCGAGCCGCGTTTGCGACACGCAGCAGCAGCAGGTACGGCGTGAGAACAAGAGGTGCAGCGAGGACGGAAGGAGGCGAGAGGCCCGCGTTGGCGTCCCGCAGCCGAGCAAGCCGCAGTCCTCCTCTCCTCGTCCTTCTTGCCCCCTGCGCGGGCCAGGGAGTTCGGCATCCTGTGGGCTGGCAAGCTGCGTGCCACCGTGTCCATGGTCGCCGCGGTGGCCCAGTACGGTTTCCCCAGGCCTGTTGCCGTGCCCCGCGCCGCAGCGCGGGCGAGAGGTGTCGCGGGCTCGACGACTGAGGCTCGACAACGGAGGGCTCCAGCGTCGAGGGGAGGACGATCGAGGATCGGGGGTGAGCGTATGGTTGATGTGGGTTCGACGATCGGGGGTCGACGAGTGTCGTGGACCCGACAATCCAGGGTCGAGGCTTTTGGGATTGTGGCTCCCCATCGGCCTTCTCACTGCATGAAGCCCCACCGCCGGCTTCGGGGGAGTGCCGGGCCAGCTCGCCCCTCCGAGGGGCTTGACTTTCGCCGCGCGTGCTCCCCCATCCTCCAGGGATCGGCCTCTGTCGGCCGGTCCTGCCCCGGCGGCCCCCGAGGGAGGCGCGGGGGGGTGGACGAGACGTAAGAGTGACCTTTCGCCGGAGTGACCTTTGGTGCGGGCACAGACGGGTCCCCAGATGGCTGAAAACGAAGCAGGAGCAGCGGCTTGCGCGCCCAGGTTTGGTCCCCCCGCGGCCCCCAAGAAGCCGCGCACCAGGGGTCACTCTCACCCAGGGTCACTCTTGCGTGCAGCCGGGGAGGGGCCCTGCTGCAGCCGCTCAAGCCAGAGACGGCTTGAGCCGAAGCGCGCGGCGTGCTTATGTCCTTTATCTTCCCTCCGTCGGTGCTGCTCCTCTTCTTCATACTCCTCCTTCTCCTTTTCCTGCGCCTCGTTCTTTGCATTCCTCCTACCCCCTCCTCCTCTCCCCCATCCGACCTTCTCACTCCTCCGCGTTCCTCCATTCTCCTCCTCCTCCTCCTCCTCCTCCTCCCCTTCCTCCTGTTCGTTTTCTTCCTCCTCATCCTCGGAGCGCCTCCTCCTCGGAACTCGTCATCGTTGGAGCTCCTCCTGGAAATCGTCCACCACCTCATCTTCATTCTCCTCCGCTTCAGGCTCCTCCTTCTCTTTTCAAGCTGCCGTTTAGGCCCCAACCATTCTGGCGGGGCCCAACGCCTCGGTCCCTTCACGTGGGCGCTTGAGGGACAGCACAGTCCCTGTGTTCGCTGTCTCGCCCTTGTAGACGCGTGCAGACCTCTGTGCTGACGAAAACCGAGGTTGAGCAATGGCACGAGCGTTGTCCACGTGCAAACGTTGTTCCCAGTCGGAATAGAATGACGTATGGATTGCCAGGGACATGCCGTTTGCGCGTTGTTCTAGTAAGGCGAAGCTGTACGTAGCTCCAGCCAAGGGCAAGGACAAACATCAGGGTGAGAGCAGCGGCGGTCCCAAGGGTATCCTTAAGGTCACCTTCGCGGACGAGCAGCACAGTGGCGGCCAAGGCACCCCGAGAGGAGGGCGCCGTGCAGGCAGTCCCCCGCCATCGTCGCGTTCAGGTGAAGTCCTCCCGTTGCTCGAGCAGGCGCTGGCGCAGGCCACGGACCCTGAGTAGAGGCGCGCGCTCTCTGCCCAAGTTGAGAAGCTCAAGCAGGAGCAGACCGCGCAGCAGGGCGGGTTATCCTCAGCGGCTCTCCAGTCCTTGCAGCGAGCTGACGGAGCTTGGCTAGACATCAACAATAGGCACACCCAGGCCGTGCAGGCCGTGGTGCGGTTGAAGAAGCAGCTGGGCCTTGCGCAGGAGAAACAACAGCGGCTAGCCGAGGAGCTGGCCGAGACGGTTCTCACCAAGAAGCAGGCCGCCACCATCCTAGCTACTCGTGAGGGCGTCGCGACAGGGCAGCAGCCGTCGGCTCCGAGGACGACGGCGGCGCCGGCCTCAGGCAAATTCTTCGGGTTGAAGTATGATCGCGAGTTATTCGGTAACCTTCAAGATCTCGAATGTGAGGAATCAGAGCGCCTTGAGTTTGACAAAGTGCACGAGGGGCCGATCAAAGCCCAGACGTTCTTCGACGGCAAGGCCGAGCAGTGCGCGCAGTTCATCACCAGGGCCACGAAGATGTGGACGGCCATCGCGGCCAGGCTCGCCAAGAAGAGGCGCGGGGCCGATTGGCAGGCGGCGCCAGCCACGCCAGGCGGCGCCCCGACGGGCACGCCGCGCGGCGAGGCATCGGCGCCCCAGGCTGCGGCCGCAGCCGCGCCTGCCGCGGACGCCGCGGGCGCCGAGGATTCCAGTGCAGCTCGCGTGGCCGCTGAGGCCCAGAGGATCTCCGAGGCGAAGTTCGCGGCGCAGGAGCAGGCCGCCAAGGTGGGGGCCGCCGATCCAGCTGTCGATCATTGACTAGGCCCAGTGAACAGCGGCACGGTGTGCCATGCAGAGCCTGAGGCCGGAGTTGTACTCGAGCAGGGGCGAGTGCCCAGGGAGAGCGAAGATCAGTTGCAGCTTGTGTTTGGCAATGTCACTGCCATGGGGGGCAAGGTGTGGATTCTTTTTTCCAGGAGGGTATTTCTTTCCAGCGTTTTCGTTTGTTTTGCCGTGCTGGGACTCATGTCTCTCGCTCAGGACTGACACGGTGGCTTCGTGATGCGCGCGCAGGTGAAGCTGGCGTCGATGAAGCCACCGGGGGTGGCGAGTGGATCTTGGCCCCTGGGCACATGCAGGGTCATTCGTTGGCGCCTCAATATGGGCACTTATCCGGTTTCCAAGTTGACGGTCATAATATGATCGACGGTTTCACTGCCGCTCGCGTTCATATGGTCGGATATTCATTTGCTCTGGTTACTTCTACGGGTATTCAGCGATTGGATTGGCGAGAAGTAGTGCGCAGCTCACTTTGACCGTCTTGGAGCTGTCCACTCCACTGCTCGTGCAAACATTCCACCCTCCCACCCACAACTTGGTCGCAAGACCTCTTAAGACAAGACCGTGGCGGTGGTTGCCAGATGGCACTTGGCCACGACGCCGACGTCGACGACGACAGCGACAACGACGACGACGGCGCCGCCGACACCGACGACGACGACGCCGACGGCGTCTCCAACGACTTCGACGACGACAGCGACCACGACGACGACGACGACGCCGACGACGACGACGCCGACGACGACGACGATGAGAACGACGACGACGCCGACGACGACGACGCCGACGACGACGAAGACAACGACGACGACAACGACGTCGCCAACCAAGACGACGAGGGAGGAGGGAGGACGACGACGGCGACAACGACGACAACGACGACAACGACGAGGGAGGAGGGAGGACGGCGAGGACGCGAACGACGAAGAAGGAGGAAGGACGGCGACGCCGACGACGACAACGACGAGGGAGGAAGGAAGACGACGACGACGACGACGACGACGACGACGACGACGGCGACGAAATAGGAGGGGCGACGACGAGACGCCGACGACGGACGACGACGACGACGACGAGGGGGGGGGGGAAGGGCGACCACAGCGACAACGACGACGGAAACGACCACGACGCCAACGAGGACGACGACGACGAACACGAGGAACGACAGAGGACGACGTAGGCGACGACGACGACGCGGGAGGAGGGGGGACGGCGACGACGACGACGACGACGACGCAAGAGCGCGCGCGCGCGCTTTTGTTGAAAATCCGTGTTGCGAAACCATGGTTTTAATAAGTTTTTTGGGCGCGCGATTTTGAAGTCTTCCCGAAACCGATGGGTTCTTGAAGGATTTCGGCGTGCGCGCGCGACGACGTGCGCGTCTGCAGTTCGTTTTTTTGCAGAGGATTCTCCCGACGGCGCACGCGCAAGGGCGTTCGACAGATTTCGACATGCGCGCGCGAAGCCCGTTTAATAGCATGTGGTGAAAATCTTGAAAAGCCCATGGTTTCTTAAGATTTCGCATGAGCTCGCGCGGAAGCTTTTTTTAGCAAATTAGTGTTGCGAAACCTGGTATTTGTGTGTGTGTGTGTGTGTGTGTGTGTGTGTGTGTGTGTGTGTGTGTGTGTGTGTGTGTGTGTGTGTGTGTTTTTGAAACTCGATTGCGATATCCTTCCGGCACCAAGGATTTCGGCATGCGCACTTCGTCCCTTTTTTGCAAGGGATTCGTGAGCAAGTGTTATGTGAGAACAACAAGTATCACCGCATAGTTTTTGGGAATATATATATATGTATATATATATACTGGGATACTGTAAATTCATATTTAGGATGGACATGTGGTCATACTCATATATGATTTACATACCCGAAAAAGGGGGGCCGATATCGCTGGGGGGGAGTTATTTTTTCGAAAGGAGAATGAACTGCTAGACTCGGGGTTTTCCTCGCCTCCCTCCAACTCCCTTGGGTCGCCATCGGGGACTTTAAGGTTTCCTCGGCATCCCTGGCAGCCGGTTTTTTCTGTCGAGGGTGGGGGGCGACGTTGCAATGGCGCCTGTTGTTTGCACTTGCGATGCGGTTGCGGAAGGTAGCCGCGCAGATTATGGAGTTCGAAGTTTCGCTGCGGCAGCCTATCTGATCGAAGTTGCCCCACTCCTGAGTGTCCCCTGGAAGACCCGCCGTGGGCTCAGGTTGTCCCTCGGGGCCTCGGGGAAGCAGCTTCTCACTGGGAGATAAGTGCTGCGAGCTCGGCCCCCGCAGGTCGGTCGACCCGCGAGGGCCCCAACCCTGGGCTCCAAGCCTCAGCAGTCTCGCGCGGCCGAGGTGATCGGCGCCGCGGCCAGCGGCGAGAAGAGTCGGGGGGGTATCGCGATTTGTTCGGGTATCGCGGGGGCTTTGCCAATTCCGACCCCTCTGCGTCGCGCGCAGAGCAGCCGGCGGATGGAGGTCGCGCGCCCGCGCCTTTGAACGCTCCTGGCTTGCGTGGTCAAGATGGCCCTTCTGATATCCAGTCTGGCGCCCCCTCGGCGGAGGATCCGTGGGCCGACGACTTACATTTTATGGGTGATTCTAGGTTGGGAACACCAGTGGCGCCGAGCAATGCTGCCTCCGCGGTGGGTGGGGGGTGGGGGGGGGGGTGGGCGGAGCGCGGCGCTGCCTATGGCCCTGCAGTGGGGGTGGGGCGGGGGTGGGGTGGGGGCGCGGAGCGCGGCGTGGGCGCGGGCAGTGGGCCCTCCAGGCAGTGTGTCTTGCATCCAGAGGCACCCGTGTTTCGCTTGCCCCAGTGCGCTTCCAGCGTCGCTTGGGGGCTGGTGCCGCCTGTCGAGGGTTCTATGGTTGATGATGATGCACCGCTCGCCTCTAACGCCGCCATCCCATCCAGCGTATTTGAAGAGCCGCCGCCATCCAGGTGTCACCCAGGAGGTCAGTTTCTTCGTGCCCGATGAGGTGTGGATCGACGCCAGAACGGCGGTTGGTTTCATCCCAGCAGCTCAATGCCCACCTTCGCCAGCGTATTTATCGTCCGTAGCTGCCGGGCTTGAGCGCCCTTCCGTCGCACCTGTTTCGGCTCTGTGCGCTTCGTAGGTGGCGACGTTGGGGTGGTGGTGCGTGGCCGTCGCGGGGTGGAAGTACCGCCGACGCAGTCTCGAGGCTTGGGTTATAGCGTTCAGGTTTGCGAGGTCAGAGTCCCTGGCGAGGGGGGGCCAGTACCGTATCGGGATGTGGTCGCGTCGTGGTGGGGGAAGGTCCGCGCGGTATTGCGTCGCCTCGACAATCGCCGGCCTCGGAGGTCAGGGTATATTCAGCAGCAGCAGCTTGAGCAAGCGTGTCGGCATCTTCCCCAGGAGTGCCCCGATCAGGCTCGCCGTCTCGCAGAGGTTTGCGTGGAGGCGCGGGCCCCGCGTGGGGCAGGTGGCAGACTCGATTTCGAAACGGAGCTTTGGATGACCTCCATGGTCTAGCAGTCTACGTTTTTGCAGCCGAGCGCATTGCTGGCCGATGTCGGCGGCGCGCGCTGCGAGCCTCGTTCGCGGACTTCCGCGAACGGGTGGTCCAGTCGTCTTCGGCGGAGGTGCTTATTGAATCAATGCCTCAGGGGCCCGTTCCTGTTGATGAGGTGGTCGTTGGGTCCCAGGTCATCTACCGCCCCGAAGGCAGAATCGACCGCGGAGCCGCGGGGTTTCGGAGGCTGTGGGCTCCGAGTGGGCTCGACGAGAGAAAACTTGAGGGCGCTTTTTCTCGTGCTCGGTAGGCTGCGCGCGAGGGCCCACTGGGCCCACTGCCAGTTGGAGTTTTTTTTTTTGGGGGGGGGGAGCGCGTGCCGTGCGACCCAAGGCAGGCGTGGGCGTAGACGTGCTGCCTCCTACAGCCACCGAGCGCCAGCCAGACATTGCGCTGGCAGAGCTATCTCAACTTTACGATGTTGTTGAAGAGTCTCTTGTGTGGCTTTCGCAACTGGGCCTCGCGATTCGACGGGTGCTGCCCTCCGGGGACCGAGTCGTAGGACTTCTTGCGATGGTGGTTAGAATTTGGAGCTTAGCAAGGGAACCGCTTATTGAGTCTTGCGCTGCTGAGTCTGAGCCCGAGTGGGGCGCTGCTGTTTCAGAAGATTGTGCTGTGCCAGAAGCTCCTATGCGGGTGTGTGGTCGAGGAGGAAGTTTCAGGAGTTTTAGGTTTGCCGTCTGGCCAGGGACTTTCGGACATCCAGGGGGTATTGCATTTCCATGGGATGGTTTCTTATCCCAGCAGCGCTGAGATTGAGGTACCCCCAGTAGTTTTATATTTGGAGCTGATGCAGCGCCTCATGCCGCGCGCTTTCGGGCAAGGCCCAGCTTTTGCCGAGCCCATTCAGCTGGCGAGAAGTATTGTGCAAGGGCTCCGAGGAGGCACGAGATTCGCACAATGCCCCACTTTCATATGATCCCGCACCACCACTGCACATCCAGGTATGGTTTGGCGCATCTCAATAGATGACCTGTCTGAGCGCGTGCACGCATCAAGGAAGGTGTTAGGGGATAGGTTGACGGCTGGGCTCTTGGACACATGCATGGCTCTTCGGGAACAGCAACTCCCGGTGTCATCTAAGGGCGTCGTTCTTTGCGCGCGTATTGACGATGCACTGCGTATTGCATGCAGATGACAGTTTCGCGGGTTTGAGGTGGGAGCTAACACTCAGGTCGGTTACTTGGGGGTCGATGTGAGGGGCGGCCGACGCCGCGCTCGCCGGACTCGTAGGGGGCGAGTTCAGAAAGCTGAGACCATGCATCGCAAAATCGTTGGTTTTGCCCGTGCCGCAGGGCGATATCATGTCACTATCGCGCTAGCGCGCGCTGGAACTTTGGCTGCCGAGTTGCGCGCGTGTCAGGTGCGCGGCGTCTTCGGAGAGGCCGTGGTGAGGTGCAGGAGGCAGATGAGGTTTGTGTGTGTGTGTGTGTGGGGCGGTGGCTAATGGGCGGTGCTTCACTATGCTTCTGGATTTGCGCTGCCCAGGAGGGGGCCCGATGTGCGAGCTCCCTCGAGCTGGCTTGCAGTCGTGGCTGAACCGGTGGCTTACGCTACCAAGTTTACAACCTAGTATTGCTCGGGCGTGGCCCAGGGTGCTGGCCAAGTTTCGT